ATACACTAATAGGAGATACCCCCTTCGACACGCTGACAATGGCGGGGGTAACCAAATTCTGTACATGTAAGCCGTTCCGATCGCTTCTTATATGTATACCTCTTAGACGAACGTAGAGCAACTTGGTTTGGTGTTGAAAGGTTGTCTGGGTCTTGCTGGGGCTGATCTGCTATTAATAGTGATTGTTGTCCTTTGCCACCACCGACACCTTCGGTCGACGGCATTTCGCGGCAGCCCATTTCGCTACTGTACCGCATCGACGACAACAACAGCGGCTTGCTACTGGTAGTAGTAGCTGTCACTGTTTTCCCCACCATTTTCTGGATCGTTCTGTCAGAAATCGGAAATATTAATTACAATAGCTAACGTACTAAGTATCGAATTGGACCAATCCTGTGTAAATCCATTTACTTAGAGACAGTCGCTGACTCGACAACTTTTTCCCTGTCGATCGCTGATTTACTTAGCGAGAGAAGGATCCCTTAGTGAAACCTGTCAGACAAGACTACTTAGGCGGATTTTGGATTTAACTCTCAAATCGTGGGCGTTCACTGTTGTTAAATTATACTGATTAAAACTACTGTTTTAATATAGGTTCGCCGACAAAGCCTGTCTACCAGGTTCACACTCAATTTTTAGTACAACAATTTCCACCAAATCATCGGGTCCCAATGACTGGTGAGATTGGCCATTTATAGGCCTAAAATTGAACGTTCTTTCCAAAATAAGGGTCTTTCGGTGGTTCCGCGGGGGTCCAGTTAGATTTAGCGCCCTTTCCACTGAGTCGCCTATCCAGATTTAAATGATGTCGCCTGAGGTGCGCTTATTTCTCTTGTTCTGCGATCAAGGCCATTGACATCGCTGTAAGTCTTCTCTTGCGCGTTCCCCCATTTGGGGCTGTTCCGTAACCGGGTTTGACTTCAACTGGATGCATAGAGCGATTACCAGGGGCATTAAGGTCTACGATCATTCCGGTCATGTTCCTTGCATCGGCATGCTGATTATATACGTTGTTGTTCACCGTAACATGAGGGGAGGCCGTGACATTTCCTTGCTGGTTGGTGTTCGTAAGATTGCCCTGCTGATTTAGGCCTGGAGCATGGTGGCCATTAAAACCACGTGCTCTGAAGTTCTCCGGTCCTCCACTGCCCCTAAGCCCTTGCGATTTTGGTTGCTGGCAGGGAGGCTTTTCATCCTTGTGGGGGCATTTGTCCACGATTGCTTTAACCGAATCTATACTGGCCTGTACTCCTCGCATTCCCTTTAACAAAATGTGGCAGGTGTCTTTCTGTTGGTTGTATAAGCTAATCAACTGCTCTTGCTGTTCTTTCAGTTCCTGGTGCATCTTTTTCTGTGTTTTCGTAAATTCTTTAAACTTTCGTGACACATAATTCTTAACTAAAGTGCTGCTGTTTTTAACCTCCATTTCCACGCTCAATACTGTCGATTTAAGGGTAGTTGAGTTCTTCGGGGGGGCCTTCAACTTAGGGGTTAGACTTTTCCTAAGTCCAGCGGCAACTGCCGGCTTCTTCTTTGGTGCGCTATTACTGTCCGCTGTATCATGAGCCCAATAATCGCGTTTCTCCTCTTCACTGCTATCTGACTTAGAGGACGATCCGTTCCTTAACCAATTCTGATAATTGTCCATTTTCCTCTTACTGTCCTGCTTTCTCTTAACTCTTTTCGCTGCCCTTACCTTCTCCATCGGATTGTCGCTGTCGCTCGTCAAATCTGTCAATTTCTGAACTGCACCGGTTTCAACCTCCTCTTCAGACTCATCGCTGCTGCTTGGGTATTGGGTTGGGAGAATAAAAGTTTCTTCCTCTTCCAATCCACCATCATTAACATTGTCAAGGTCAACTGCTTCCTGGTTGGATAGGAATGCAGACTGGTTCACCTCAACCTCTTCATCAGAGGACTCAACTGTCTCAACAAGTGGTGATGGCATCTTCTTTGGCAGATTTTGTGAGCTCGGGCAACAAAATTAAGTTGAGGGTACGGTGTGGACCATTTTTCGAAATTCAAATTTAAATTCCCCGGACTGTACAATTGTCTATACCGGACAAAACCCCACCTTGTTCTCCGTAACACATTTTGATTCTGTTTTGCTTGTCTGCTACTTAGGTATTCAGTCCTGTAATCCTGCTTAGGATCGGTGTGGCTCCCCCTTCCCATGACCGATACTTATGGTATCCGGCTCTGTACACGGACCGGGAAAATTTAAATTCTTTTCACCGGATCCAATTTGGTTCGCCAGTTTGGCATCTCACAGATCTCTCATAAATTCGCCAAAATGGCAGCCAATGTTGTGTCCGATGTCGAGAGTATTGATGAGCCCTCACCTCTTCGCCAGAGAGTTGTTTTCCCACCGGATCAGAGTGTCGCAAATGGTAGCTTAAATGAACAGCTTGCTGGTGACCGCTATAGGAATTTAAATCGCCTGAGTGGTATCCCTTCTTTGAAAGACTTAGAGCTAGCGTTCAGTAGCGAAAAAGAGTGTTATGTCTATTTAAAAAAGAATGGTGCTTTAAACAACTTACCTAATGTGTGTCCTCGCTGTAATTACGATTTGGGTGAACCAACATTTAAGAAAAGTGGTCCAGTGTTCCGTTGTAGAAGGAGGGAGTGTCGCAGAACACATGGGAGCGATTGGTGCCAGTCGGTATATAAGGGAACCTTTTTCGATGCAGTCCGTGGAGGCAGGAGGGATATACTGAAATTTCTATACTACTGGCTCACTGGTTCATCACATCAACAAGTATGTCTTTACTTAGGATGGTCTAAGGGAAAGGGGACTTATTGGTTTAAATATGTGCGGGAGTTCATCGCTACACTGGTGCGACACTACAACGGACAGATTGGTGGTATGGACATTATTGTCGAGATTGACGAATCGAAGTTCGGAAAGAGAAAGTATAATAGGGGTCACAGAGTAGAAGGTTCTTGGGTGTTCGGTGGAGTAGAGAACACCCCAGAACGTCGATGATTTGCTGTGGTTGTCGACAAAAGGGATGCTCTGACACTTATCCCCATAATTAAACAGTTCATTGCCCCTGGTTCCATAATTCGGAGTGACTGTTGGGGGGCATATAATCGTATTGAAGGTGTTACCATTGATGCCGGATTCGGTTACACCCTGCCTATGTATGAGCATCAACGGGTCAACCATGAGCGAGGATTTAAAGATCCAGTCACTGTTGTTTGCTAGTAATACTGCAGCTTATTGGGGAGTAATTTGGTTTTAGATTAAGCTGAAAAGCAAAAGTGAGGATTTTCTGGTGGTGCATAGCAATTCTTGTGATTGAATTGGATATAAGGACCCCCGTAACACTTTAGACCTAAAACTCCCTTGGTTCCTTGCATGATCAATTTGCATGCGAACCGGACTAGATGATTAATACACGAGTCAATAGTAAAGAGGTGTCAGGTATGTTTTCTCCAACACACTCCTGCACGGTGCCCTAAGTGGCTACCGTGGAACGCATAAAATAAATTAGGCAATCAAACAAGGGGTGGATGCCCCATGATGAAAGCCCTGTGCTCGTGGAAGAGCTTGCCCTGAAGGGGCTTCGTGAAAAAATCTCCACGCATCTCCAAGGCTAGGCAGTACACAACTCTAAGGTTGCCTTTTCCAATCTGGTCATGAATAAAAAAGAAACGAATGTTGATAGCCCGAGTTCTTTTGCCCGAACTGCCTTTGCCATTCTCTGCAAGAATGATCGT